GTGTCTCGTTCCCTTCGGGGAACCATGGTTACATACGTAACCTGGAGACGTTTTCTCTTCCTCTTCTCTAAAGCAGCGCAGCATGGCCTCGCCCCCTTTGCTGCCTTTTAACGAGGGCGGGGTTTGTCAGGGTTTGTGATGTCACGAACCCGGGAAGTAACTCGTTGTAGTCCCTACCAGCCGTTTTTGTAGGCATTAAACTGCCAGAATTTTAAAAGACGATATCTCCGTTTGCATTGAACTTTCAGCTTCGTAACTTTGCAGGCATTGTTTATGCTCAAACAGCAACATTAGACACTAACTAACGTTAAAAAAGTGAAATCGCAATGAACCACCCCTTAATGACCTTTATTATACTGGCATTCTGTATCCTATGTTAGAAGACATTTTTGACTGTTTTAGAAATTAACATCTTTAAATAATATCTAGATCTAAATAATATTGTTATGTTACTGTTGTATAATCTCAGTACAAATGTATGTATCAGTTAAATCAAATATATAAACAAACTCTTTGGAAAATAACCTGTATGGCATTCAAGACACTAAAAAGTTAGTATTTATGACATCATGTTGGTTTTTCGGATCTAATTTTAAATTTACCTCAGTTTTTTCAAGCACTTGAAGGCTAAACACAACACTGAAAAATTGGCAACATGCTTATGAAAATTTGTTTAATTTTTAATAGCTTAGCTGTACTGTATAATTCATAATAAATGGTAATTAAGGTGCATTTAGTAAAGTTGTCAGTGCAGTATGGATTTTCACAATGGATTATCATCACTCCAGAAGTTGGCTCCCCTCTCCTCCTCAAATGGACCCTTTCGTGTCTTCCAAATCTGAGTCACAAACCTCAACCTGCCTCGCAAGGAATGTTCCATCATTGTAGCCCAGGGGAAATTTGTCCTGTTGTACGTTTGGTTGAGGAGTATTACTTTGGCTGGACCAGCAAGACAGAAAAGAAACACAATTACACCACAATAAATGACTGCAAGCATTCTGAGAAACTAAAATAGTAGGGCCCCAGCCCCACACAAATTTCCAAAAGTTGAACAATTTGGCCCCTGATTTCTATATATGATTGGACTTCACATTTTTCACCTTCAGGCAGATTTTCATTTCTCTTTTAGATTTTCCATTGCATCTCTCACTGCTGACATCTGCGAGGGAAGTAAGTGTGGGACATTTCAATGTTTTTTTTGTTTTTTTTTATTCACCACATATTAGATAGGGTTCACTGAGCCTTATATATATCAATAATCTAGGGACTGATTTGTCAACTATCCTGTTGAAGAGTTTTCCTATTCATTTACCCCAAGTGAGTGCATAAGATTTTGAATTTGTATTGTACTACCAATATGTATTTAGTGTGGTTATCCATTTAATTTGAGTATCTAATTTTTCTTTTCCTTTTTAGTGGCCTAGGATAAGTCTGCTTATTCTTATTTTGCCGTCTCACCCATTTAAAAAAATTTTTTTTTTAATGTATTTATTATTATTATTATTTATTTTTTATTATGATTATGGTTTATATTCATGTGTGTTCTGTTTAAGTTGGAAAATGTTCAATAAATATATTAATAAAAAATTAAAATAAAAAAAAAAGATAGGGTTCACTGATTTTAATAATATCGCACCACAGCACTAAAGCTGTTTATCCCATTGTAGTTCTATTCTAAGTGCTGTAAGGATAAAAAAAAAAAACTACACAACATTAGAAATTTCATTCAATCCATGGTTTCTGGTGTGTTTTATCGCTGCTTCTGACCACATCTCCACAGATGCCCTCCTGCAACCCTAAAAGCTGCTTATGTGCCCCTTCATCCCAGCAAAATGTGCGATCAGGACACTCCAATTAGAGTCTAAGACCTGATGTGCTTATGCATGGAGTTATTTTGTTTGTAAAAGTTCCCTCTCTAAGATATCACAGATTTTAGTCATATGATTATGAATTAGTCTTAAACTAATGCTAGAAACAAAATTACAATTCCATTAAGTATCTTATTAAAATATGACTGGTAGGCAGGGTTGGGGAGTAACGGAATACATGTAACGGCGTTACGTAATCAGGATACAAAAATCTAGTAACTGTAATCCGTTACAGTTACATCAAAAAACAAAGTATTCAGATTACAGTTACATTTTGTAAAAAGTGGGAATACTATCAAGATTACGACACTAAACACCGACGAGCCGCTCTTGACAGTCTCGGTAGCACGGTCTCGTGTTGTTTCCACCAGCGCCGCAATTTTTTTTTCATCACTAATTGATGGATGTCTAAAATATAAAAATAAGGAGAAGCCTAAAACAGGCCCGAGGCCCGGCCCGCATCTGAACTATGACGTGAAAATTGGCCAGAAGCCCGGCCCTTGTAACTTGAAGTAATCCAAAAGTAATCCTATTACATTACTTTTATATTGTGGTACTTGGATTACGTTACTGAATACTTTTTTAATGAAGTAATTTGTAACTGTAACGGAATACATTTTAAAAGTAACCCTCCCAACCCTGAGGGTAGGGCATGTTTTGTATGTAGGTTTTTACCATATTCATCATTATAACCTACCTGGGTTGTCTTGCTGTGGTTCTTCAGGTTGGTTGGATGTTTCTCCTCCTCCGACCTCTTTGATCCCCACTGAGAGACTGAGATCTGGGATGAAGACCTCTTTGTTGCCCCCTGCTGGAGTTCTTGCTCCAGTTTCTGTGTTTTTCTTCCCTGATGGTTTAATGTGTCAACAGCATTCCAGTTCTAAATGTGTCACACACCTATTATTCATTTCTGTATTAAAAGGCCAGAAAAGTATTCACCACTTCACAATGATGTAAATATAAGAGATGCTTACCTTAATACTTGTAGCATTTTGGACCCCGTTTTTGACCAAACCAGATCTTCTTGGAAACACTGGAGACCTTAGTAGTACACATATCACATACGTAAACATTTTTTTTTGTCAAATGTCAATAAAATTTGATTTACGGCCTTCTCTCCAAGGTGCGTTTTAATGCCCACTCCTGTCAAATGTGAATTATGACACTGAGAAAATTCCAGCGTTCCCAACCCCACTCCTCTTCCTGAGCCAGGATTCATGCAGATCTACTGAGTAAGAGTTAGGAGCAGGGTTATTGTAGTTAACTAAAAATAAAACTATTAAAAAAAAAATAACAGTAACAAATAAATTTGTTACTTGAAATAATGTAAATGTTAACTGAAACGTTAACATATCTATTAAAAAAAATATTTCAGCTAATTGCAGAGGAAACATTTTTCATTTAGTTTAAATTGATGTACTAAAATAACTAAAACTGAAAAAAATAATAAACTATATAGACACATTTATGAAAAAACTGATAAAATGACAAAAACACAACAAAATTATTAAAACTAAAAATTTAAATTAAAATGGAAATGGCAAATATAAGAATATAAACTAATTCAAAATATGAATAAAAACTATCATAGAATCTAAATGATACTAAAACTAAACAACTAAAAAAAATAAAAATAAATAAAAAGTTAAATAAAAGAAACAACTAAAGATAAATAACAAAAACAATTATTAAATAAAAAGCAAATAAATAATTTTTTTCTATACCAGAACTGCTGGTTCCCAGTTCAAATAAGTAGGTAAGTAAATAAATAAATAATATTGGTGTCACAAAAGGATTTTGTAAGTGTAACTTTTCTTTCAAATATTTATTTTGTGTTTTCTGAACCATAACTGCTGGTTCTCAGTTAAACTCCCAGTTAAAACTTAAGGAAGTCTTTTCCTTTCCTTTTTGACTTCAAAAACCTTTGGTTGAGGGATTAGCTTTAATTTGATATGAGGAATAATCAATAAAAGCAGTCAGACAAACCTAGACTGATCTTGATTAATAATGTGCTTATTCAGTGTGTCTGACCATCCATTTCATCGGCTCACTTACCGATTTCTCCGGAGGGGGAGGGGAGAGTGATGGAGTCTCTGAGTCTGGAATTTCCCCACTGTCTCATTTTTATATAAGAAGGAGTGGAAATAAATCCTGGGAGATAATGAACTGACTGACAACTGACAGAGAATTTATGCTGCTCTACTGACCTTTCTCCACGCTGCTCTCTCTCTCTGAACAGACTTTTCAGCTATAGCACAGAAGGGAGACACAAACAAACAAGGACAGGAATTAAATAGTATTACACTTTTTCTGCTGAAGTGTTTAGGATTTTTACTATGCACACTGTGTAGCACCTGCTCGGTGACCAGCCTCCTCTGTTGGTTAGGATCTACAAGGTCTGAACCAGAAGGTTTCTGTTTTTTAGACTCTGGTGGAATTTCTTTCTCTCTTTTACCCTATGGAACAAAATTCCCTTTAAAGAAGCTAAATAGCAAGGAATAAACACACATGTGCAAACAAACGTCAGACAGTACCTGCTGGGGAGGTTCAAAATCATGCAGTTTTTGTAAGGCTTGGTCTCTCTCCTTCTCAAGCGTTTCTGCTCGCCTTCTGCTTTCTGGAGCCAAAACATAAAAACCAAGTAGGAAGATACACATGAACGCTTAGCTAATACATTCCTGTTGTACAAAATGTGCCTTCTTCAGTTACTTTGGCAGAAACATTTCTCCAGTACACAAGGGGGCGATCGAGCCACCTAAAACGGCTGTGCTTTTAAACTGTATTCAGGTAGCTAGCTATACACAGGTCAACAGTTTCAATTTATTTTAGTTTCAAACTACTGCACCACCTTTACAGCAGATGCTAATGCTAATACGCCATAGAGCCCCTTCTAGTGTAAATGCTACACTTGCTCTGTGTTTTGAACTCTGACACATTTTGGAACACAACAACATGTAAAATCGAGCTTGTATATCTAGGAGCTTTTGTGTTCTATTAATTACGATACATTTTTGGCCTTTACTCAATATTAGCATGAGGAAATACCTTCTAACAGGGCCTTCGGTGACACTAAGTCCTCAGGACTGCATTCACTGACCACTTCCTGTCTCGACTGCAGCCCTTTATGTCCAAAAATCTGCCCGAGGTAAGAGGCACAAAGACGTGTGATACTGAAACCTCATCAGATTAATCTGTTCTGCTGTGAGAGAGTTTTAACGTCATGGCTGTTATTGTACTAGCTCCAGGGCGGATATCTTGATCTGAGTCTCTGCGTTCTCTGTTATCCTCTGTATCTCCAGGTTCTTCAGATCTTGATCCCTGTGGTAGAACGAAAAAAAGAGCTGATGACATGAAACCTGTCATATAGTTTATTGTTCCATAAAGGATCAATAAGCGGCTGCTTCCTGTTTTACTAGTTTTTGATAGCATTGCATGGACACATTCCATGACTGTTAAACCCCCAACTGGAAATAAATGGTGTCCTTTGTCCTGATAGACTGATCTGAATTGTGCATCTTAAGGTCCTTAAACAGTCACATGCATCATTCATTCATATATATATATATATATATATTTATATTACATTTACCAAAATATATTTTGCTAAATGTATTTTTCCCCCCTTCAAGTACATTTTGTAATAGATTTTGGTCTTTGAATGTTTAAATGAAATATGTTTGAAATTTAAAATTATATTTAATTAAAGGGTTACTCCACCCCAAAATGAAAATTTTGTCATTAATCACTTACCCCCATGTCGTTCCAAACCCGTAAAAGCTTCGTTCGTCTTCGGAACACAATTTAAGATATTTTGGATGAAAACCGGGAGGCTTGTGACTGTCCCATTATGCAGAGCTGCATCAGATGATCCAGGCTTTGGATCTGCAGCTGCAAAGGGAGCAGAGGAGCAAACAGGGCTTTACTGAGCAGGTGTGTGAGCTGCATTCTGAGCTGTCTCAAGCTAAGAGCCAGGCCAACAAACAGAAGATGGAAACCATGTTGATGAAGGAGGAGCTGCTTTCTATTACAGAGGTCAGAGGTCAGAGGATCTTCTTTCAAATACAAACATTTTTACCGACCCCAAACTTTTGAATGGTAATGTATGTGTGCATAAATGAAATACTTTAAAGTTCTAAGTAGTAGTGTGTCCTTGCAAAAAAAAGAAAATATTGTATGTTGATTAAATGTTAGTTGTTTAAACTAACATTAGTTAGTTTAGTGTAATTGTCACATATAGCGTATGGATTCCATACATACACTGTAAAAAATGACCGTGGATTTAACGGTAAAAGACTGTAAAAATGCTACAGTAAAAACCTGTTAAATGGTTAACGGTAAATTCCCCTACTATATACGGTGAAAAACTGTATTGGACATACATTTTACGGTAGGTAACCGTTTTTGGAAGTGAAAAA